TTTTTTTTTTTTTGGTTTTTTGAGACAGGTTCTCACTATGTAGTTGAGACTGACCTGGAACTCACTATGTAGCCCATGCTGGTCTCGAACTCACAGCGATCCTCCTGCCTCAGCCTCCCGGTGCTGGGATTTACAGGCGTGTGCCACTACGGCCAGCTTCCTCAGCTATATTCTAAACTCAAAGTTATTATTGAATTTCTCTGATTAGTCTTTCAAAAAGCTTAGCGAAGGGCCGGGGATTTAGCTCAGTGGTTCAGTGGCCTGTCTTGCAAATGCAAGGCCCCAAGTTCAATTCCTGGTACCCCCCCCCAAAAAAGCTTAGTGATAGAAAGATTCCTATTTTTGTAAGCTAGAAAGGGAAAATTTAATTTTCAGCAAGTTAATTGGAATATATATATATCCTTGAAAAAGATTTTTGTCTCCTTTATTCTGACTGTGTAAGTCTGATGTAATATTGGTGTCACAATCACCGCCATTCTACGATCTCAAAGCAAAGCAATAAGCTGCATGTGGGGGTGCACACCTATAATCCAGCACTCAAGAGGCAGAGGCAGGAGGATCGCTGTGAGTTCGATGCCAGCCTGGGCTACACAGTGAGTTCAAGGCCAGCAACAGTGAGGCAGTAAGACCTCGTCTCAAAAAAATTAAAAAAAAAAAATCAAAAACCCCTGAAGCAAAGCAAAAGATTCCCCAAGGCAAAAAGACATCAGGACTCTGTTAAAAGAATATCTGGAATATTTTCTAACAGAAAACCTCTGGAGAATTACAAAAATATTGTCTAGAAAAATTAATTTTACCATTATATAAATTTTAAGCTGGTCTTATACTGCAAATAAAAAGCTTATGAAGAGGAGGAAGGTATTTAGAATTTAAGTGCAACTGGTTAACTTTTTTAAAAAATCAGTAACTGAATTCCTAGGCCAGTCTCAGTCACCATCTAGTGTAGATGTGGTACAGAAGGAATTGGTAAGCGACACACACAGAGAGGCACAGAATGGAAGTAAAATAAGAAAAAGTTTATTGTGTCAACAAAGGCAGATCGCACTTCAAAGCAATGCCAGGGATTGACCTTGTATTGGGCTACAGCTTCCCTTTTATAGGGTTTACAGCCATGGTCTCATTCAGGTGGTTACATTTCATTCTCTCAGTTCACACTGCTTATATACAAATCATGTCATAAGACAGTTAAATTTCAACTCAGATGTAGCAATTCTTTGTTGTTAGGGCAGTTTACCTTGAAGATTCGCCTAGCTATCTATCCTAGCACATAGGAAGGGGGTGTTCCTGGTCTGGAAAGCAAAGTTGACAATGGCTCTTTTCATCTTGACACTTTTTACAAAATGTGGTTTACAGAACTTTGGCGCTCAGGGTCTTCATGTGCTCTGTTATCTCAGGATGAGACCAGATGCCTCATCCAGTGGTTAATGCCTCTGGTGTCTGTTAATTCTGAACTAACAAAGCAAACTGCTGTTAGACAGCAGAAGCCATTCTACCGTGTGATATTTTGTAGGTCTGCTATTTACAGTTTTCTCTATCAGGTGGACCCGCCCAGTGCCCTGCCATAGAGCACACAGTCTGCACAGAATGGGTCATTACAAATCAGTTTATTCAGCCAACAGACTTAACTACTCGTCATGTTTTGCACAATGTCATTTCCCGTTAACAATATGTCTCTCAACATCTAATAAACTCCAAAGAACTCAAATGTTCACTGTATTTAAAAATATAAATATTTAAAAATTTGAGATTATAAAAATTCAGACAAATCATCTGCCAAGTGAGTGTCAACATGCACAAGTAATTAATTTTTAAAAACAGACTGGAGAGGGCCAGGGATTTAGCTCAGTGGTTCTGGTGCCTGCCTCACAAGTGCAAGGGCCCAAGTTTGATCCCTGGTACAAAAAAAAAAAAAAAATCCAGATTGGAGAATCAACCATTGAAGCATTTTATTTAAATTTAAGCACTGCAGATACGTTATTTTCTTACATGGCTTCCAACTCATTTCATACAGTAAGTTTCAAGCAAAGGCAAAAAAACTGCCTTGATAAAAACAGCAGACTACTTTTTTGGAAATTTACAATAAAAATTTCAAGCCATTAAAAAAAAAATAAGAAACCTTATTGGCCCTGCAATGCAATAAAATCTATAGTCCTTCAAGAGATAAAACTCTCTATTGTGAAGCTATGCCAAAGATTTGTATATAAAAGGCATTGTAATGGCTACTTTATACAAGTTGCATCTTTAAAATAATATATTTGAAGACCAAGTATGTCATTCGTAATAAAAAACAATGGTTAAAATAGGTGGGACTGGGTGCCTAGTAAGTCATCTGACTACAAACAGCTGGGCCCTGGGGAGCGTTTCAACTGCCGTGAATATGAACAACTAGCTTACTTGGTGTGTTAGACACAAAACAAGTGGGGAGATGGGAATTACAGGTGGCAAGAGATTCAACAACTGAATCAAAATAAAACAACCTGAGCATCACTGCCATTTCTAGCACGTCCGACAGCGTGATTGCATTCAGATTGAACAGAGGTGAGTCCTTGTGCTCCTGCCCTCACCCTGGTCGTCAGCCTCACTGCCCTCCTGGTAAAGGCGCAGGCACCGGGTTGGATGAGGGGGCCGGGGACCCACTGCTCACGGCCTGTGGGGGCACTGCGGCTGGCTCCATCTTGCTGATGTGCGTGATGAATCTCAGGCGAAGCTTTAAAGCTGGTTTTAAATTACAGATAATCTTCTCTACCTAGGAAAAGAAAACAAAAATTGGGCTGGGGAT